TAGTACCAGTTCCCTTGTGGTATCCTGGAGAAAATGACCTTGAAACATGATCTATGACCATCTCCACTTTCCCCTATATATTTTCTTTTTTATTCAACATTTATTGAGCCTTTTACTGTGTGCCAGGCAATGTTCTAAGCACTGGGGATACGGCATTGAATAAAGAAAACAGTCAACAAATATTGGTGCTCTCATGGAACTGACGTTCTTGTGGGGGAGGTAAACAGTAAACAAACACTATTTGTAATATGTCAGCTATTTCGAAGTGCTATGAGGCAGTCAGGAGGGAGGACTAGGGGATGGAGATAGTGTAATTTTAAATTTAGAAGAGTATTTGGGGACCTGAGAGATGAGCATCACAGACAGAGTGCCAGGGCCCTGAGAAGGGAGCAAGTCTGCCATGCTGCAGAAACAGCAAGGAGGCCATTGTGGCTAGCGAGTAAGAGGCAAGTCCTGGAGGGTAACTTGGAGAGGTGACAGCCCTGAGGTTTTGTTGCTGTTTCTATATTTAGTCACCAGCTCCCAAAACCATCCCACAGACCAGCACAACCCCCATCCCAGCATTTCATTAACAACATTAGAAGAGAGTTTTCTTTGCTGCGAGGCAGGGCTGGGAAGGCCATCATGCATTTAGAGGCACCTTTCTTGCCCTTGACTTGCCTTTATCCAACAGGAAGAGAAACAGCAAGAGGCATCCTCGACCTTACAGTGTAACAGGAAACTTACTCCCCATTGTTTGTGTTTGTCTTTCCTAAGAGCTAGAGCAGGCAGTATAACTGGGAAATAAAGGAGTTTGTCTTTGCTGTTGCTAGGTTTACCAATACAGCAGAAGATATTCATTTTATTTGAGAGAAAAAGAGAAATTGCCTGGACTGTGCCTTAAAAGTGGATAACTGAGTAATAATTATATCATTTTCATGCCATTTAAAAAACATTCAAATTTAAGTAACAGGAAACCTTCAGAGGCTTGACCACATAAAAAGGCCAGGGTAGAGTCATATTAACTAACCAAATCTACCTAATATCTTAGTTTAAAGTCCCACTGTCGCCTTAGTTTAAGACTTTTTGTCTTTCACTTGCTAATCATGATATGCTT